CATCATCCGATATAGGCGAGTCTAGTACAAGTTCATCTACTTCATCATAGTCCCCATTAAAATCATCCGAAATTTCTAAAATGTCTTGGTCGTAGTCAGACTGATCGAGCACTGAATAATTGCGAAAACAATCCTGAATTGAATGAACCACTCAGTTTTGAAAATTGAATTTTGTTTAGAGCATTTAGTTTTGATATGTCGAATTTCTTTCCAGAATTTAGACTGACAATGTATAGAATTACTGAGTCTGCTTAGTTTATTACATGTGAGTTCATGTTTAAAGTTTCTTTAGCATGTCTTGTACCTATTTCGCTCTTTACAGTATGTCCGTCTGTTACTATCAGAGCGTTGACATCAAAACTTTCTAAAGGCTCTACGTGCATTTCTCTTGGCCAAATTACATTCTCTGCTGAACGGTCTAGATTTAGAAATGTCTTTGCACGCCTTTTCATACATTCGGTCGATTTCAATATCGTATTAACGTGATCATTGACAGCACCATCAATATCAACCCCAAGTTTAATCAGCAGGTTTTCACCAGACTGGACCAATTCCTGACGTAGAGTATTAAGGAATGTAGTACAGAATGAGTCATTCCAAAATATCTTATCAGTAATGGTTAGGTTGTTATTAGACACATTTGATGGAGGGGTCATTTTGGGGGAGCTACAGGATAACTCGAGTGGAAAATGATCTAAATCAGAGTGTTCGCCGATATTAAAGTGTTGATATTGTAATAATTCCGGGGAACAAATAAAGTAGTCATTTACACAACAAATGTCTCACTACAGTATGTAAACTCACCATTTACGTCCCCGTTCACTCTACCGTTAACTATGAATAAATGGAAAGCGTAACACATATCTTGCAATATGCAAAGAATCTATTTACCGTACTATCATGAGGTTTACGAGTCTCGACTGGTGTGTCATCATCGTCACAGTATGAACCAAAGTTATGAAAGTCCTCACTCGGATGTACAGATTGATTATTGAGTGGTGATACTTGGTATTTGCTAGGATAGGATCTGTTGATGTATTGTTCCAGGAAATACACACAGACGTTTCTGTCTTACTGATCAGGGTGTTTTGACATTGATATGTCAGTTAAACGTATGGTAAAACAATTCTAATTCCCAAATGTGTCCTTTACTTCTACCCCAGGCAGACTGTAGCGCAAATAGGGCTGTGCAACAGAGAGAAAAATGACCAATCTGGATATATGCGAGCAAAGCGAGCAAAGGTTGGCAACGTACTTCCCTCGCTTCGGTTCGAAAAATATTTTTAATATCAAAATAAAATATCGCCACCATCAGAGGTAGACACCTATTTCCTAACTGGGTTGTGCTCTCAGATTTCCAACCTCAAATATAAGAATTACTCATGTACAATATATTTAATTCAACATTTTAAGCGCCACTCGTGGCATGCCAAATCGTCCTTCACCCCCATTACCGCTGCCAGCTTCCGGTTCAACGGAATGAAAAAAAACCCAAACCTTGACAGGCCTACTTCGAGACCTTCGTCATTAAGAAATTCTGAGGTTTGGAGAGTACAAATTTTCTAAGTCATGTTACTTACTAGTATGTCTCACAGTCTCTGAACCACATAAATTTCCTTACTGCCATCCCCTCCCTGCAATACTTAAGCAGGATATGAAGCAAGTTTAGAATCAAGTCAAATCATTGATTACACAACGGACTCGTTTCCTGCAACTTAGTGCAATGACCAGTCCAGAATTTTGAGACCAACTCATTCAACTGGATGTATAGATATAAATCAGTATTATTTGATTAATCTAATCACTTGTTTATATGTTGCAACACTACGCTCCTTCTAATCCTTGCAAATACGTCGTGCAGCGTGCTCTGTCGTACAGCGTGCTCTGTCGTGCAGCGTGCTCTGTCGTACAGCGTGCTCTGTCGTACAGGGTGCTCTGTCGTACAGGGTGCTCTGTCGTACAGCGTGCTCTGTCGTACAGGGTGCTCTGACAAACAGAAATCTGGAAATCGTGGACATCTCAAAACGAAGCTCGGCCGCTAGAAATGTTTGGCCGTCTATTACGGACTTAATATTATATCAATCAAATTGAGCGTTACGAAAATACATTTAATAAGCGCAAAAAACACATAACAGGTGTAACCAGTGAGCCAGACGAATTGAAAAAAATGGTACGACCTCTTCAAAATAGGGACAGTCTGTGACCTCTAAGTTAACGACATGCTGCCATAAAATATACAAATACGTTTTTTTTAAGCATTAAAATTAACATAAATTTGTAAATACCATTTTTTTGGAAACAAGGAATTGGTATTTAGTGTAACCATAGTTGTTTGTAGTGTCTCTTTTTACTTTTACACGAGACAATTCAGTCGTCTGAAAAGTAGGTCATTGTGTGGCTTGGTTAATGAGACTCATGTTTCGGTTTGCTTAAGTCTCAGGTTCTGAATTCCCCATATCTCACTGGGATTTCTTTTCAATTAAAATATGTTGTTTTGTATCTATCAAAATTGTATATATTAAGAGACTAAGCGTTAGTCTAGTTACGTGCTGATGCCACTTTTGTACCCAGTTTGTTGCGTGTTCTGACAGGAAACCTGAGGCTGTGTGTTTGAAACTAATTCGATCTTTATACATTAATCTTGTGTGGACATTCACTGATTTCACAATTTCGCCGTAATTGGTAATCACCTCGGCACAACATGATCCAGTCAGAGATTACTGCAGGAGAGCAGAATATCGTCCGCTGGTTCATTTGTTGGCAAAAACAGGGCAAAAAATGCATCATGATAGGTTAAACTTTAACGTGTTCTAAATGTTTACTTGCCCAAATTCTCTTGTCGTTGTTGTTGTTGTTGATGATGATGATGATGATGATGGTGACGATGATGATGATGATGATGGAGATTTCAGAGTGACGCTTATGTCGCACACTAATATTGTTTTCGTGTCTGAAACATTCTCTTGTATTACCTACAGGTAATACAGCTTTTTGAGAAAGGGTGTGTGTGTGTGTGTGTGTGTGTGTGTGTGTGTGTGCATACTATTGAGAAAAAGAGGGGTGCACACTTCAATTTCACCCGAGTTTCACCCTCCCTCTGGATCCGCCTATGTCCTCCATGTTATATAGATATCGGTTTTCGAGAGAACGAACGTCGTCGGACGATAGGGGAATCACAGTGGACTGGGTATTAGCTGTCCTAAATTACAAATGTGTACTTTGTATCGGTACCGGCAGCGTCGACGTCAGCTGTTGAACGGGACTGATTTATAGGTGTAAGTCATTTGCATCGGCAGCCATTTTAGCATTAGATATCTGACTAGACAGTTCTGGAGGTTTCAGACAGACTCTCAGATATGATGCCTTAGCATTATATTAGCTTTATTTGGTTCGTGACGACTCAAGATTCTGAGTCAAGCCGATGGAAGAAAAAGGTAGTACCCACCTCGCCATGTCAGTTTTGTTGCATCGTGTATCATTCGTTACCCCTTACCCCTTTCCGTAACCTCCAAGACGGTTTTCGGCGAGTGGTTGACGAATGGTCCACGAATGCCTCGTGCATAACACATAGGCTCGAAGTGCACAGAAATATAAGGCGTAGTTTCTGAACATTAAGACATTTTAATATTGAAAAAGGTTTGAGGATTAACTGTATTTATCCCTTCAGGGGAAATGCTCATCCGTATTTTAGAGTGAGAGTCTCAAGCAATGTTTGCATTGTATTTAGTAGTATTTGACGCACGGCGATAATAACCGTTCTGCGACCTGTTGACTAAAGGTGACCAACACTCACATGATTCAAGTTCATTAACAACTTTGTAAATGTTTCCTTTCACGTTTGTCGTGCAGGCCATGTTGACGCCCCTTACGTGACGTACATGTACTACGAAGCGCTGTCGCTGGGACTGATAGTCTGAGGTAGTGGTTCCTCCTAAGGACAGCGCGGTGGAGCAGCCTTGTGGTTAATGGGTTCGTTCGTCACGCCCAAGACCAGGGTTCGATTCCCCACATAAGTACAATGTGTGAAGCCCATTTCTGTGCCACCCCCGAATATTGCTGGAATTCTGCTAATAGCGGAGCATAATTAAACTCACTCATTTCTAAGGAGTACGTTCAATGTCAATTAAGTCGTTCTCAGTTAAAACCATTAAGCTAAAACATGTTATTAAAAAGGAATCTCGCAGAAAGTATTTTGGGGGTGACCTTTGGTGTAGGCAGACACTGCTATTTCTTTAAAAACACATGAAGAGTGATTGTTTTTTTCTTTAAATGGTGGTCGGTCCCCCAATGAAACTATGTATACATCATTCAAATCAAGGAACGAAAAAACATGTAGTTATAAACAAATTACAAGAAATGGCATTGACTTTGAGAGTTCATTGAAGTATGGACCTTTATACAGTGAGGACCATAGTCTGAGGTGCAGGTGCAGCCATCCAGCTACCGTGTCAGAGAGGTGACATGTAATATTTGGGATTAAACTTCCTCAATAAAGTACAGATTCTAGTGATGTTATTATCCAGCCCGGGTTTCGATGTAACTCACTCAGCCAGCGTGGGGCATATCCTTAGTGAAATACAGATTAATGATGTCATTAGATGGTGACGTCATGATAAATCTATCACATTTTTCCTTTGTCAATATTGCCTTTCCTCGTAGAGGACTGCTGCATATAATCACCCAGAACAATTGTCCACTTGGGATATCGTGCTGAGTGATATCAAGCGAAATCCTAGGATGATATACAGTTGCATCACAGTTGCATCACAAAGATTTGTACGCTCTCGGTTACCATGACGACATATTCAAAAGACACCACCATTCCTCTTAGGATAAGTCGCTGTCGCCGGTCAGCTGTACCATCTAAGACAGTGAATAGTTTTCACTAACTGAAAGGATGGAAGAAAGATTGGATGACAAATAGTCTGACCCTCACATATTTTGACATAATGTACACCAACAATACAAGTTTTTATCGACTGGTGCTGGTATATTAGATATCAAAGGTCATTAGGATGAGAATATCTATCTCTTGTCATCACGATCATTTCTTCCTCCCTCGCCAACGTCGACCTATTCGTAGCGATGGAGTTGTTGTTGTCACGGCGGCGACCGAACATCGTCTTGAGGAACTGATAACGGAACTGTCTTCCAGCGAAGAAGTACAGATAGAAGTTAACGGCGTGGTTGGAATCGGCGAACATGGATGTAAGCACGTCGAGGAGACGTCGCTGCACGTGGTCCAGAGGTGATTGAGGGGGACCAGCTTTAATGACGAGCATGACGACGCAGCGAGGAATGGTCAGTATGACGAACATGATGGTCACGGTGACCAGCATAATAGTGATATGGTTGTCATGACTACCAGACCCTGATCGCTGTGCTTTGTTTGAGGAACTTGAGTTCATTGCTAAATGTCGACGGACTTTGGAGGACTGTTGTATGCTGTAGACGATGAGGAAGTTGAACATGATGAGAACAGTGCATGGGATGAATGCATATACTGATGCGCTGATCCAGTACCAGTATTCCGTGGTGAAGTCCCTGTAGTCGGCGGAGTAGTCACAGCCGTTGACGGAGTTTACAATTGTCCAGAATATGTGCAGATGTAAGACACAGAGACACGAAAATATTAGACACACAAGAAAAACCGTTCGCCTTAATGTCCAGATACTTGCAACCTTTAGTGGAAACCGTACTGCCATAAAACGCTCGGTCGCCACGGCAACCAGAATCCAGTTTGAAAAGGCAGCTGTCACAAGTCCAAAGAAACACATGAACCTGCATCCCGCTACTGAGAAGGCGTTAGGCTGATGTAGCAGCTCCATGAATATTGTTTTAAGTATGAGAGCAACGTTGTCGACGACACTCAACGCTGCGACGCAAAATGTTGATGACTTCAACCGTGACATTTTAAGAATGGTCACTATGCTGGCGAGGTTACCAGGGAAACCAAGAATCAGAATAACCAATATATAATGCCGCTCCACGGAACCAATCACAGTCAGGGAGTTGGAATACTCCGTGTTACCGACGTCACTGGTCACGATTCCTGACGTCATATTGTAGGTGGCGTTCCAGGCGCTACTATGGTGTAGGGAGCTTTTGTTCATGTTGAACGATTCCATCTTCGAGACTTGATCCATTATCCCATCAAACCACCTGAAACACAGTTGGAAAACGTTAAAACATCCTATTTATCCCAAAACCTACACCAACCCAAATTAACCTCCCATTCATAATTCAAAATGCGGATTAAACTACACTGAAGGATATTTCACTTGTCAATGTAAGAGTTTTCTGTTCGTTTCCACACCTAATTGGGCCAATTTCGTACCATAAATTATTTCTTAAAACCGAAATATCTCGTTATTTCAATTATTTCCTGATGCTTTTAAAAACATTTCGTTACTTTGAGTTCAAGTTAACTTTCAAAAGTTTAAAATTCGAGAAGTAATCGAAATGACGAGAAAAATCGGGACAAAAAATAAAATGAAAGTATTCGAAGTGACAAGAAAATTTTCTTGTTTTTGAAAGAAATTCGGAAAGACGAGGAAATAATTGAAATTTTAACCAAGTACAATTATTTCTATAAGTTAGACTCACATAATTTACCAATCAGCTTACAAGAATGTTTCTCGATATGCCCTGTGTGTGAAATCGAATAGTCCAGAGGATTTTCGAGGCCTCGTTCTGCTGCCAAGCAGGTTTTGCCATGTTCACGTTTGTTTGACGATTGCTCCAAATATCTATTTACTTTCTACTCGTTATTCAGCCACACGAACAGCAACAGATCTAATTTAAATTGATCAATAATCACTTTGAGTGCAATAAGCATTTGAAGTGAAATGATTTGTGACATCGTTTTGCGCTATCTGGCAATTTACTCATTGATTGAAAGAGTTAATAGCCCATTTGTGTTCGTTGACCCTACTTCTATCTATCTTTGTCTACCATCTCGCCTTCAATAACCTGATCTATGGAGACCATTAAGCTATACAGTCATCAACCTTATATGAGGTCAAGCCTGTTCTTATTGACTGACGATAAAGTTCAAAGTTAAATTAATGAGTGATTGAGTGAGTATGTTTTACACCGCTTTTAGCAATATTCCAGCAATATCACAGCACGGGACACCAGAAATGGGATTCACACATTGTACCCGTGTGGGGAATCGAACCTGGGTCTTTGGCGTGACGAGCGAACGCTTTAACTAGGCCTCCTACCACCCCCTTAAGTTTATTCATATTCGCGGTATCATTTTATTCAAAGAGAAACATTTACAATATATAATTTAGTTATATTGAGGTCAGGTTGTTACAACACAAGGAAATAATGCCGAGTCTGTGTTCAGCAACTAAAGACGATACGGTTAATTATCATACTTGGCCTAATGTCAATATGAATTTCTTTCTAGTAACATCTGGCCTCTTATCGTACAACGAATATGTCGGAATGTTTCTATTGTGTAAAAGAAAAGACTAATAACGGTTGCTGACCTGTCCGTTCTACAAAATTAACATGTGATTTTATAACCTTGTGTCGAACTTGTAATACATATTTTATTTATTTAACGCTGCACTCAGTAATAATCCAGTCTGTATGACGTCGATCTGTAAATAAGTCTGGAAAAGACCATCCTATTGTTGATATTGTTTTGATCTGGAGATTGAAACAATAATTTAACACAGAAGTACAAAAATGTTACACTACGACCAATTGCATTAAAAAAATCAACTTGGTTTACAAATCAACACACGTTAACAACACCTAATTATCATGGCAGCACAAAATATAGAAAGTAGTCCATCTCATCTTTGTGTCAAGTATGGGTTGCTGAAGATCAATTCCAACTCGGATCTTCGCGAATAGACAAGAATAGGCTGCCCACTACCAATAACTAAACATGACCTTTATTTGATGTACGTCATAAGTCATGTTTTTTGGCACAGTCGTGATGCCACACGTGCAATGTCTCCAATCCAAATTACCGCATTTGCCCTCAAATAATATAATGGAATCCAACTGCAATAACGACAAAATATAACTGGGTTCGACAATCTAACATTATTTAGCAATACTGTATGTTGGAAAGAATGTCGGGATAGTATCCCATTCAATAACGGTCCCAACCAATCAACACTAACCCCCAACCCCCAACCCCCCAGTTCGTAGTGTATGCTTTATTGAAGTATGACAATACAAAAGGACTCAATAATGTTTTGGGTCTGACCCTGGCGATGCGCAATATGATTCATCGGTACCAGCGTGGCCTATACAAGATGTCGGTACGGTGGGGTAGCCAAATGGTTAAAGCGTTGGCTCGTCACGCCGAAGACCCGGGTTCGAATCCCCACATGGGCACAATGTGTGAAGCCAATTTCTGGTGTCCCCCGCCGTGATGTTGCTGGAATATTGCTAAAAGCGGCTCAAAACCATACTCAGTCAGTCAGTCAGTATACAAGATGTCCCGATTTAACATGATAACAGTCATATGATATGAAATATGACAATTTGACAGGATGTTTGTCTGAGATGGAGAAGCTACCAAGAGTCGATGGAGTACAAAACAAAAAGATCATTCATTGCTTAATCCCTAGAGGCGGTTCGGACGCACATTACCAGGAATGTAACGCCCAGCTCTAATGATCTGTCGATCTTCACTAGCTCTTCACACCTGACACTATGAAATCATGCCCCCATGCTCACAAGGTTTAACGTACCAGTGGTCTGTGATGTCTTACCCCCAACATATTTTCACCTCATAATTACTCAAAAGAATATAATTTGTCCCCCTATAAATTCTCCTGAAATTTACACATATGTTTCCCAGACACCTTTCCTCCTAGTTTTAGTTCACATTAACAAATGACTGGAAATTCTCAAGAATTATATTTGTCGTTTTATTCAATATACTTTTGAGTATGATCACCTTGGATGCTCTAGCGCTGTACGTGTAGACGTTAGCGGGTACCTTGTGTCTAATCGGTGAAATACATTGTTAACCAACAATTTCCAAACTGAGTAGTGAATTGGGTTTAATATCTCAGTGACCAGTATTCCAGTCACATCCCTGCGTGTCTGCTTAATGTGGGAGGAAAACCCGGAGTTGTGCAAGTCTCAAACATTTAGCTCTTTGAAACCAGCGAACATGTATGGTGCCGACAAACCTGGACTTTTCATCTGGAATTCACATCCACAATCATACGTTCCTGACGTGTCAAAGGGACGTAACTCTTCCAAACCAATTGCGGCGCCTTAGAAGTAACAGTATTTGGTGTGATGGATCAAAAGTGACAGGCATTCTGCAAACGTAACCTCGATTGGTATTGGTGACGATTCATGAGTGGGAAGTGAACACACTCTATTATTTTCTATCCGTGAAGATCCCGGTCAGAATTGATCTTCAGTTATCCATGCTTGTCGTAAGAGGCGACTAACGAGATCGGGTGGTCGGGCTCGCTGACTTGGTTGACACATGTCATCGGTTCCCAATTGCATATATCGATGCTGATGCTGTTGATCACTAGATTGTCTGGTCCAGACTCGATTATTTACAGACCGTGGGGTACCACCACATGAATCAACAAAGTCATCTAATCAGACCACCCGATTTATTAGATGCCACTTACGAGAAGTCTCGACGAGCGAGCCAGTGATCAATATCATGAACACCGTCCCACGCCGTCGGTGTACAATGTCAGCCAATCATCTAAGTCACTGAACCTCTCCTCTCTAGCCATGTCCACCCAAAGCATCGGTTGCCAAGGATCAGTTCTAGCTAGAACCCGTGAAGATAAACCCATGCTTGCCGTAAGAGTTGACTAACGGGCTCAGGTGGTCAGGAGGTCATCGTATCCCAATTGCGCAGATCGCTGCTCATGCTGTTGATCACTGGATTTTCTGGTCCAGACTTGATTATTTACAGACCACCGCCATATAGCTGTAATATTGCTGAGTGCGCCTTAAAACTAAACTCATTCAATCAATCTAGCTAGGAACCCCAATGAGGAACTTAACTTTGTCAATAAGCACCTAAATTACACGACTTGTCGTGAAGCCAGACATTGCTGAAATTACAAATTGCGCTTTTAGTCTCGGGGGACTTTCTTCTTGAAGTATAGGATACATCTGTCAAATGGTGACTTAATGCCGTGAGACAAATAAGCTTTTAACGTCAGCCCGGAACACTTCATCATAAAGTCATAAGTAGTGTTACGTTTTAATAAATAATATCTAACACACAATTCAACCATATTTGTCAGCTATTGTGATATTTCACAAACCATCTCATTCAAATATAATCTGTTAGTGTCTTAGAAGATACATAACTGAAAAATACATCTGAGCTTAATGAGATCTTATTGAAATCATTTAACGAACAAAACGATCAACTTCAGAATGTTTACCGGTATATTGTTTGTGCGTTTTCTGCACAGTTCCAAGTATCGTGTGGAAGAAGTTCCTAAACTTTCGACAAAAAAAGAATAGTACAATAGCACATTCATTTCACAAAGCATTGGACCCGCTTCGGTTTCAAATTGGACAGCCAGATTAAAACATTTAGATTTAAATCTCAGACAAAGTTGAATACTGTGTATACAGAACAGCAACCGTCCTTCAAATAGACAGTTAAAATTCGGTTCATTGGCTTCATCACGTTTGTAGTTTTACTGTTACGGTGAACTTAATGTATCTGGCTACGGCAACGGTAGCAATGTGAGTGTTTAGTTCATTGCGCCTAACAGGCAGCATGGCTGTATAATCCCCAGGGAGTTGAAAAATTATCAGAAAGTACGATAGTATCCTATCACCGGGGATAGTAATGTACGTAGCGCCGTGAGCAGGCAATGTTCCTGGATATGAGCGCCATAAAAGCGAACTATTACTATTACTATTAACAGAAAGAGGCATATAAAGAAATCTCAACTTTATAACGATGACGACAACATACGGGTTTCGCTAGGATAGAAAATTGCATTACACATTGCGATCGTCACTCACATTGAAATATCATGTTTGAGTTGACAACGGTCACAGACTAATCTCACAACTGTGTTTGACTTACGTTTTGCTGACCATGCACTTCTTGTGATAAACAGCGTCCAGTCTTCGCGGGGAGCCATGT